TGCTCAGACAAAAGAAATTTCACATTCGCATTTCATGCTGTAACCAATGGCTCCCCATGGAAGAAAAATGTCACAAAAAATGAGAAACTACAAAGGTGAGGGTTACGAGAAGATCAACACAGATTTAGATATTAGTGAAAATACTGTGGCAAAACTGATCCAATATTAAAGAAAGATTGTGCAACCATCGTGCACGACGTCCAGAAGCTCAATGGGAGGGTCTTCTGCTGAGAAGGGTTCAAGAAAAGCACCATGGGAGTTCACTGCAGTTAGCTAAAGCATTAGACAACCAAACTGGAGTGATCGATTCTCGTGACACCATACACCGCACACTGCAGAGGAATGGCATGTATGTGTATCGTCCACGAAGGAAGCCTCTCTTAAAGCCCATGCACGAAAAGCACGCCTAGTATTTGCTAGGGCCCATGCTGAAGAAGATGAAGACTACTGGGACTCTACTCTGGAGTGATGAGGGAAACATCACAGTTGGAACTAATGGTTTTAAACTGTATGGCGTCATAAAAGTAAGGATTTCAAAGAACAATGCACAATGCCTGCAGTGAAACATGGTGGTGGCATGTCAGACGCATGAGTGAAGCTGCATTTCATCAATGGCATCATGAACTCAGCAAAGTTCTGCTCTATACTGAAGGAGAAGATGCTGCCACCACTTGGTCATCATGCATTTTTCCAACACGACAACGATCCAGAACACACATCTAAACCTACTGTTGCATTTCTGAAGAAGAACATGGTGAAGGTGTTGTAATGGCCAAGTATGTCTCCTGTTCTGAACCCAATAGATCACCTGGGGTGAATTCTGAAAAGGCAAGTTGACCACCACTCTCTATCCAGCATCAAGGCTCTAAAAGAGGATATTCTTGATGAATAGAAAGAGATAAATGTTGCAATATTCGCCAACTTCTTCATTCCATGCCTAGAAGGCTTGATGCTGTCCTTAAAAATCATGGTGCTCAAACAAAACACTAGATGTAGTAGTTTTTGTTGCGAGGTGTATTCATTTTCCCATTACAACTAAAGCTTTTGGGATTTAAACTGAGTGAACGCTTGGATTAAATCAATCAACATCTTACCATTTTATTTCATACTACTTTTTAGTTCAAATAAGAACCACAAATAAAAAAACTCACCATAAACGAAAGAGTGAGGTCAGGCATTCCAGAGAGCTTCACACAAGCTTCTATAACACCCTGAATTTCTGCAAAAACGGTAGATCCTGAAAGATAAAACAAAACATTACACAAAGTGACCATTTAATCTCATTATCCAGTCAAACTGGTCAGAAACAGCATTACCAGACTTGTCCAAGATGGCATCGATTTCTTCCACCACATCAAAGTAAGCTTCATTGTTGGTATACTTCACCCCAGCTCTTCTCCAGGGGATTGTGGAGAGCTGCCCTGTAGGTAGGGTTTCTCCAACATTACTGCTGCCTGAGAATTGTCAGTCGATTAGGCCCTGGACATCTACTTGACACTAGCATCCGGTGTAACAGCCTCACCTGTGATCGTATTGACCATTGAGCGCAGGATATTGGGAGGTCTGATGAGTTCCTTCAAGATGTTGGACTCCGTAGCAAGGGGGAAACCATTATCCAGCATTTCCTCCAGAAGCTCATAGACTATAACCAGATTGTCCTTTATTATGGTCTCTGAACATTCTCCAAAATAATCCTGTGGCAACAATTAGAAAATGACATAGGTACTATGAACTTTTTATTTTACTTTGTAGAACAGCATATTTTTTAAGAGATGAAAAAAAAAGTTCTTCCAAACACTGGCTCGCTCCTTGTTACCCCCCTTTTTAGAACAGGATCTGATTGTAGCAAGAACAGCTCTTGTCTATCTAACCAACCTGGACAAGAGCTTCTTCCTGTAATTCTTATGTTTTCCTTTAAAAAAACATATTTCTGTCTAGCTTGCTGTGGCTTTGCCTTTGTTTGACTGAAAGAAAACGTTAGCAAAAGTGAGATGTGTATATTGGACGTTACTACTGAGGGAGGTCCAATGTTGCCATGTTACGTGTCTCTGACTCTAATAAAAGCTCCAATAAGACAAAAACATTTAACTGTAGCTTTATTGTTCCATCATCTCTTTTAACCCTTGTGTTGTGTTAGAAACCTGTTTACACCTGTGGTGTTAGCGGATCCATTTGGACCCATGATTTAAAAATGCTTGAAAATGCTTAAAATCACCAGTTTTCTTCAAATTCTGTTTTTCAGCTAATTGCTGGCTTAGTATCTATTCAAATAAATGGCAACAGTGTGTAAATTGTTTTTAGTTGGCTCCTCAGACACAGTATTTTAAAATATACCACTCGTTTTTGATTGCGAAAACTGTTTAAATTCACTAAATATCTATTTTGTTTCTTATAGAATGAGAATAAATAGCCTGTAAATGTGTTATAAACTAATATTAGAGTACACCTACCAAGATTTTTCTTTTTTTTTTTAATTATTATTTTAAATGATCAACAATAGTGACATCTTTGGTGTTTCGGGTCAAAACAGACCGCATAGATAAATGGTAGGATAAAGACAACACGTCAATTTTTTTTGTCATAAAACAAATTTCTATTTAACCATACCAATTAACCAAACAATTTAACCATAAAAAGAACATCGATAAACTTCTCTGACACTCCACTGGCAGGTTTTCCAGTATATTTGCATATTCCATGCATAGGAAGTTTTTGAATCACATGCTGCCCATATTTTGATACCATACTTTCCAGGTTTGTTTGGCATGCACTGCCTGAAGGAACAGTGGCCTAGTCGTTCATCCACTGTCACCTGTGGCCCAGGATTGTACACAAAGGGTAAATGTTCTACCCATTTGTCCCAAACCTCACTGACGGGAGCAAGCTCGTCATTCTCACGACGAGCAACTCTTGTTTCCCTGTTGTCAAAACGTAGCACTCTTGATAACACATGAAAGGCTTGAAACAACATTGTGGCACGACAAATAGAATGTCCTGACTCAATATCCCAAAAGCTGGCCGTAGCTTCATTACAGGATCTGTATACCCCCGCAAGAAGCAACAGTCCCATGTCGGCATCGAGCTGTGTTTTGTTCATCTCTGTCCAGCTATCACCAAATTCTCCCTTCCATGTTGGGCATCTCAAGTAGGATTTTCTGAATAGATTGTGGATAGAACAGTTCAAACGCTGACTTGACGTCTTGGGCGTGTGACACAGCGTATCTAGTAGGCCCTGGAGTCATTCTGAGGATGTTCTCTGTCGGAATGGGTTTGAAGAAGGCTTGATTACCATGAATTGTCACCTTTTCTTGACTTGAAAACCTGTCTTTGAGCATCTGTGACATTTGGGTCCTCATCAGATGTTTGGTCTTGTTCAGGGTCACACAGAACCTCATCCTCAGACACATCCTCCTCAGCTTCACTTTTCCCTCTATCCTCAGGATCACCATCATTGCCATAGATATGATCCAGTGCCTCATGAACAGTATATCTTTTGCTCATGTTGACAGATGCTCCTACAGAATTCAACTGATAATATCCCAAACCCTCTTTGTTTGTGCCAATGTTTGTAAACAATGTAAAAATTGAGTTTACATGGGGGGTGGTGTGTGTGTGCTCATGTCTGTGCCTATGCATGTGAAAGAGGCCTGTGTGGTGCGTGGGTGTGTGTGTGTATGATGATGTGGGCCATAACTGTGCACATTGGATCATAATTGATCCTCAGGAAAACCGGTGGCTTTTAAGTGATGCTAACAACAGCCAGTATTCTCTGCCAGGTCATTTTGGACCCGTAACACCAAAGATGTAACTATTATTTTTGAGGTGTTTAGAATTTACTAAAATTGTGAAAATTTTGCTGCATTTAAATATGTGTGTCTGAGGATTAGATGAAGCCTCATTCCAGGACAAAAAAGGAAAGTGTACTTTTTACACAGTCAAACTTGAAAACGGGTCAATTTTGACCCTAACACAACAGAAGGGTTAAATGTAAAGATCTCGTATTTATCGGTGTTTCAGTTCATGACCCCTTCAAGAACACTTGAATTAAAATGTTGCTAAGTATCACCATTTAACACAAAATTAGAAACGTATATTATGTGAATTATTTGGTATGGTAACATAAATATTATCTGGTGACGTAAATGTTATTTTCAATTCCTTTATGTACATTACTTTGATATTATTAACATTAAAAAAAAAAAGTCCTGATTTTGTGCAAACTAACATATTTTATGATTCCATATCAAACAAGAAAAAAAATAGAAGTATTCTATGTAAGTTACAACAATTTAAATAAAACGCGTGTTAATATCTGTATGATACCTGAAATGTCTCCACAACTCGATGCAGAAACTCAATGACAAAAAGTGGAGGCACTTCTGTTTGGATGACTGAGACGAAGAAGATCTTGTCACGGTAGATGTTTATGAGATAGTGATGAGGGGTGCGGATGACAGGAGGCACATTGTCAGGTTCCCCTGCCTTCTCCCGTGCTTCGAAGAAATAATCACACACGGAGCGGCTAATGACACTCTTCCAGTGTTTCTCCAGGAATAAATCCCCAACATTGTTTATCAGGAACAAGCTGTGAATCATGACGAGCGCTGGGAAATCAACAGAATGAAACAAGGCTATGAGAACAGGAGTCACGGGTCCTGCAGCATCTACGAGTTAGTGGTTGTAAGTTAAAGACCATTTTAGGCAATTTATGCTCATTAGATGCATAATTTTAATTCTTGTGCAGTTGTGAAATTAATAAAAAAAAAATCATGAAATCTCGATAGAATCATCAAAGACTTCCACATTAAACCTTGCCATTAAGTTGATTAATGTTATTAATATAACAAAAAACAAATATGTAACGTGGAATACAGTAACATTTTCAAAACCAGAGTGTTTTTTGGAGGCTGACCCTTTAAACAAGCCATTTACATTTAAATGTATGCATTTAACCGAAGCGACTTACATTTGAATGAATGAACACATTTTTTTTCAGATCCCGCTTTCCCTGGTATTTGAAGCCACAACCTTTGCATCGTTAGCGCAATGCTCTACCAACTGAGCCATAGGACAGCCTCACAAGCTACTACTATCTATTACTATTGACCCCTCCCCCCTCATAACATGGTAAAAGTGCATCACATCTGTAACATGTTTTTAAAATAAAGACTGTGTTACTCCTAGTGGGACTCAAACCACATAGCATGACTAGGGGAGGGGTCATACTATTAAGTTAGAGTCATGGGTGGAGTTCTAAGGTTTGTGACATCACAATAAAAGTAATTAATAAACCACTACTGGATGGATTTCCCTAATTCAAGAGTAGGTGTTTAAACAGACACACACTCACTAATCAGCCACTTGGAAATGTGTGATTTTTATCTGAGGTCCTCTTTAATAATGCATAACATCATTTTACTAAAGTAAATAACTTTCTTATTCTTGTTTATATTAAGAATCACATTTAAACCTCGTGTGAATTTGATACCAAAAATGATTCCAATAATGTGCGAAACTAAATTTCGTTGTACATTTACCATCCTTTTGATTTTTTTCAACAAACTAATGAAACTTCTAACTTAATACTTTAAAACCAGGTTTAAAATCAGGACACTTGGAACCCTTTAAAATCCCAAATTGAATATTCAGCTGACAGCAGACAAAGACATTAACAAAAAAGGGGACGACACATTAGTATAAAAGTTTTGTCACCTGATAGAATAGCAAGAAATCAAAGTGTTTTAAACAAGACCATTTAAAGCCAAATAAATAAAGCAGCCAAGAGCTGAGACACATACTCCATTTCTAAACATGTTATTAAAAAAAAAACAACTTAACGTTACCGCGAGACAGCTGTCTTGAAAATTTTCGAGCACTATCTCCGCTTGCAAATGTGGCAGATGTGTCCCTCCTCCTTCCTAGTACACGCGCCCAAATATTCGCCTGTATAGAAAACAACTCAATGTAAACACAAAACACGCTTTGTTGGGGATATAAAATAGACGGCACTTTACATACATTATTAACTACTATGCAAACTTTAAATTGTTAGAAGTATATATTATCTTGGAAATGTTCGTTTTTTTTCTGGCAAATACGAGAACAGCTATATGCCTGTCGCAAATTTCCCTCCACAGCTTCCTCGATTCAGAATCGGCTCTTTTGAACAGTTCTTTAAAAAGGAGTTGAATTTATGATTTTTTTAAATTATGACTTTTATTCCATTTCCACGTTTGCTTTAAACAAGTTTTGTAACATCTTAACATTTGGGGCATGCACAGAAAATGTCAAAATTTAATCATGTCAGGTTTATCTATTTTAAAAAGATTTTTTTTAAACATATAATATATAAATTTCTTTTTTGTCTGCTTTTTATAGTTGTATAGTTTGAATCCCTAATTATAACTGCTTGTATTTTTGCAGCTCTTTGTCTAATATATAAATAAATAGAACAGACAACCGAAAATGGCAGCATACATCTCACAGTTTAGGTACATACAGAAAAGATAGAAAAGGGTACATTTTCAATTTGATGGCATGAATCATAATAACTTGTAGTACAGCTAAAAAAATAAATATTCTGCAGAAATAAATTTTCCACATTTTATAGCTGACATTACAACTTTACAATTGAGCTGAATCAAAACTAGGGATTTTACCCATAATTGCAGGTTAGCCTTATATTTGAATTGAGTATATCCAAAGCAATTATTTTCCCTTTTTTTCTAAAAAGGATGAGGGTTATTGTAACAGAGTATATTTCTTCTTCTTCATTAAAGATACATTGAAAAAAAAAACAATTTCAGCAAAAGAAGAAAGTTTGTAAAATAAATCAAAAGTAATCATAGAAATTTGTAACCAACTAAGTTTAACTAAGTTTTAATTAATTTATTATTTACACTGTAGGTAAAGATGTATATGAATTTAGAAATGATCAAGGAATACGGTTGTACAGAAACTAAGACATCTCAAATTCTCTATTGCACTGGGCTTTTCGTGTAAAAAGATGAACCCTGATTAAGTAATTGCTATCAGTTTATCAGCTTAAAAATCCTGCCTCTTTAAATTGTTTCTGAACTGTGCTGCAAATCGGTTCACTACAACGATTCGACTCAAAAGAGCCAACTGCAACGGCCAGATGCTTCGTTTGCTCAACAAGGTGCCTGCCTGTAGCATATTTGATTGAACCACATCATCATTAAGCATGTCGTCCGATGAACCCAAAGCCAAAAGGATTAAACTTGAAGAAAAAAAGATCAAGTAAGTTACAACCAAACGAGCAATTAGCTGCGTAAAGCGAACCTGTGCTGCTACTTCTATTAAACTCAAGGTGGGATGTTTTGCTAACTTAAGTTAGTTCTATTGGGTCAGAGGTCGTTTGTTCGCCACTTAAAGTCCATGTGCTGTCAACTCCACGGTTTCACTCAAAAGCCCTGCTGTTGCATAGGAAAGGAATGTTTTCGGTATTTATCCCCTGACCACATTAATGTTCCCATTAACGATGAATGCAGCTCCTGCAAGATGTAAATCGCAAACTCGTGATCGCATGGTATTTTCAGGGGTGAGCACCATCCAAAGTGTAATTTGTAAGTTGCACAGTGTTTGCTTTTACGCACGTATTGTCTTTATTTCTAAGAACACAAGTTGTCCTTGTATCAACCACTAGGCTTTCTCCAGCTCCACGTGTTATTGTTGTGCAGTCGAGGTCTGCTGCCTAAAATTCTTCGTTTATGTGTGTACTTTTCTCCTCAAGGCATGCATGCATCCTGTTGATCCATATTTGTTTCTTTAATGCCTCTTGCACACATGCGGATTCCATGTTTTAGAGGTCACTTTCCCACTGGTGTTTGTGTCTGAAACAATTCCACTCTGGACTATCACCCTCGACAAAATGTGTCGTGATTGGAATTAAAGGTGGTTAACGTATCGGTTTTAATTCTGGTTTAGATTTACGAACAATTTGTTCATTGATCTATTCAACTTCTGACATATTTTAAAAACATGAATGCGTTTATTCGCATTAACTATTTGGCGCCACAGCGTTTGCATTAAAAAGCGTAAATTTTAAACGCATTCTTTCGCTCAGCCAATCAGATTGCGACATTTCTCGTGTAGCCAATCAGGTGCTCCTATGTACGAGTATTAACGTTGCCCTCCACTATCAGCAGCCTGTCAGTTAAAAGCATCACCCCAAGCCTTCCAAAATGCCTGCGGCAAGGTAGGGATTAAAACTGAATAGCTTAATACTTTTTTTTTATCTTATATGTGGTATTTTGAGACTAAATAGTCTTTTCAGTCTGCGTTATACATTTAAACTGTAAAACAATAGTTTTAAGAGAAAATTCAGCAGTATTTGTTTATTTTTTTTATGTCTGGAGGTATACACTTGTGTACATTTTGTATGTGCATAACTTATTTTATACCCAAATTATTTTACTCTTTGTTTGTAAATTATTTTAATCCCCAAACATCTATTTTAGAGCAAATTTTGCTGTTATTGTCTTTCTACCCCATTTCTTTTATTTTGTATAAGACTGAATTAATAAATGGTATTTCTCATTATAAAAAAACAACTTCACTTTTTCATTGTTTTTTACAACAATGTTATACTACGAAGAAGTATTTTATCGTTGCTCGTCTGTAAAAATGAGCAAATTGATCACATCTGTCAACAATGGTGGAGAGTAGTGGCAGTGCTTTTATTCTTAGGGTTTCCACTACACATGTCTCATCCAGGGTGAATGGACGGTCAGTCACTCAGCCACGTGCTTGAATGCCTGGTTTACTTATAATGGTGACTGTGCAAAGCTTTTTAAAAGCACTGAATTTGCTGAGACTGAGCAACTCTGCATTCATGAGAAAATATAATTGAAGTTCTGCTATAGTTTTTATTTAAGAGTGGCCCTATGCTGATTGTGTAATGTGTACTTGTTTATTCATGGCTGAATGTTCTGTGTTTTTAGATGAATTACTCTTGACTGCACCTTTTCAAAATGTGACTCTTATTTGAGAAATGTCCCATTTGTCTTTAGAACATATCACGCCAGTGGATCACGTTAGTCATGTGTTTAGTGTAACTATGTTTACATCTGTCGTCCAGACTACAAATTTGTTTTAACCAAACACGCGCTTTCTTTTCTGCAGTCAAAATGCTCTTTTTGGGATGGGAAACCCCTTGCTTGACATCTGTGCTGTGGTGGACAAAGACTTTCTAGACAAGTGAGTAGCATGTTTCTTAAAGTCGGCTTGGCCTTTATTCATGTGATTTATTTTTTAAAGCTTCAGTGCTGCTCTTGCATCAGTGTGTTTGTGTCAGCGTTTTGGTGTAGTGGTGACGTGTGAACTGTAATCTGTTTTTTTAACATGTTACCCAGTGGGTGAACTTTGGTCAGGCCAGCATTGATGTGAAAAGACCCTATAAGCTCAATTTTTCTTGGGTTATCAGCTCCCCCAAAGAACTTTTACCGACTATACCCTGATATTTTTATTTATTATTTGTGTACTCCTTTTATAAGTCATATCCCACAAAGACTTTTCTGCAACTGAGAGGAAATTGTCAATTATAGAGAGTAGGGCTGTGTGATATTGAGATAATATCTTATTGTGATTTATTAATATATGTTATTTAGGGGTGTAACGGTACGCTAAAATCGTATTCGGTTCGGTACAGTGTCTTGGAGAGTTTATTCCGTTTGGTACAAAACAATAAGAACTTACATATTCTTTATTTTGAAAAGCTGCCAATACACAGTAGAATTCTTACATAAAATAAATAAAAGTGACACATTTCGGTGATATTTTAAATAAATTGCACTCTTTATTAAGAAAAACAAATTTTTTTAAATAAAAAATGAAATACTTAGGACAGATTACCTATCCACATTTTCTGAAGAGAGCATAGATCTGGTTATAATATCTCCAGCAGTAGAAAATGTTAGATGTGTTGCCTGCCCGAACTCCGTGGAACAATGTCGGCATACAACTTTAAATTTATCCACTCGTCTATCCCCGTTATGTATTTTAACAGAGAAGCGAAAGTGTTCTCAAACACGAGACCTTTAAGCTCTGGCTTCTC